GGATCCCACTGCTGTGACTGCCGGGTGAGGGTTACAGACTTGGCTGTGAAATCCCCACTGCAAAGCAAAGGAGAGAATAGTGTCATTTACCTGATTCACGGTATTTCTCAGATTTATTTCAAAGCTTCTCCAAAGAAGCATGACTTTTTCTAGTGCTGAGATAGGAAGGCTGTTTCTCCCTCGATTCCTCATAAACAGGAGCCTGGATCAGCCCGGGTCAGGTTCCATTGTGAGCAACCAAAACCCGAAATGACTGCGGCTGAGTGAACAGAATGTTCGTGGAGGCGGTGTCGGCAGCCCAGGGCAGAATGGCTCTGGCTGGGTGTCGGGCCCAGATCCTTGTACATTGTTTCTCCACTTCCTGGTCCAGGATGGCTGTCCACCCTCTGACTGAAATGCCCCCAGTCCACCCGCAGGAACTGGGCAGGAGCGATGACAAACACACCTCCGCCCTTTAGAATACATCCCGGAAGCTGCAGAGAGACCTGTGATTACGTCCCAGTCGACCAGAACCTAATCACATGGCCACACCTTGTTGCAGGAGAGGCTGAAGTAGAGTCTTTATTCCAGGCCTACGGAAAGTGGGCTTCCTGTCACTAAAGTCCATGGGCGGTATATCAGTTTGCTAGGTCTGCTTTAAGAAACTAACTCAGACTGGGTGGCTTAAGCGACAGAAATGTATTTCCTCATAGTTCTGGAGGCTGGGAGTCCAAGATCAAGGTGCTGTCGGGGTTGTTGTCCTCTGAGGCCTCGCTCCTTGACTTACAGATGGCTGTCATGCTGTGTCCTCACATGGCCTTTCCTCTGCGCGTGCAAATCCTTGAAGTGTCTCTGTGTGTCCTAATCTCCTCTGCTTACAAGGCACCAGTCCTATTGCCTTAGGACACACCCTAATGGCTTCATCTTAACATCATCATCTCTTTAAAGGGCCCTATCTCCAAAGACAGTCCATTCTGAGGTGCTGGGGAGCAGGGCTGCAACATAGGCATTGTGGGGGAAACACAATTCAGTCCATTACAGGCAGAATGGGTATTAGAGAACAAGCCCAACCCCCCTTCTGCCAGCATCCCTGGAACTGGGTAAATATGTTTTTCGGAGCTATTTGTTCTGTCTCCCCTTTTAAATTCAAGTCTCCTCGATACCAAGAGCCCCAGGACACAGCACGGACCTAAAGGCAGTCCGTGAATACCTCCCGTGGTGGTGGCTACAGTTGTGACCACAGCTGGAGCAGAGACTGGTGGCCAGGATTCAGACTCTTCCATCTCCTCCCGCCATGCTGCTCGGATTCCTTCAGGGTCCGACGGCCAGCAGACCGCCATGTGGGAACTTAGAGCCGAGTGTTTTAGCCTCGGATTTACCATGTCAGAGGTTGCAGAGCCCTAACGCAGTAATTGCTGGCGCTGGTGTGGCACAATCCTAGGGTTTCCACAGAGACCCCAGTAGGTACCAAACTAAAACCTTTATATGAATGTTTTCTGGGTCACTTAGCATTGTTTTGTTTTCTATGGTCACCAAAGAAATTTTAGGAGATAAGGAGAGGTTGTTTCACCCAGCCAGTGTGGCTCAGTGGTTGAGCATCGACTATGAACCAGGAGGTCCCGGTTCTCTTCCCAGTCAGGGAACATGCCTGGGGTTCGGACTCGATCCCCAATGGGGGACATGCAGGAGGCAGCTGATCAATGATTCTCTTTCATCATTGATGTTTCTATCTCTCCCTCTCCTTTCCTCTCTGAAATCAATAAAAATATATAGTTTTTTTTTTAAAGAATAGGTTGTTGCAAGGTCAAAGCCAGCATGCCCCAACTCCAGGAAAAGATGGAAAACCAGTGCCTGAACCTCAGCAGGCTCTCCCCAGGGCTAAAACTAATGAAATGCCAGCAGCCCCAGTTTGGGCGAAGGCAAATGGGCCCCAGACTTGGAACGGTTTTGTTGGTGTGGGTTTTTTTCTCGCTTTCTAACCATTTCACAAGCCATTGCCCATTGAGCCAGAGTGAGACTGCACTTGGAAAAGGACAATTTCCCCTAAACTATGCTGACAGCCTTGCTCCCTAGACACCTCTGGAATCCACCCCAGGGTTTTGGGCTCTTGGACTTCTCTGTAGCAGGACTGGTCCCCCACGAGGCTATGAAGTCCCCACGAAGAGCACGGTTTGTACAGCCTCAGACACAGTCTCTCCTGGTCCATTTCTGCCCTAGCAACAACCACCCCAAGTGCAACTTTTGGAAGCTATACAATAGAGCTAATTGTTTTCATTGGACAGTAGTATGTTTAGAGCTTTTGCCTCTAAACAGACAATTATTTTCTGCCATTTGCTGGTGGCACTGCCTGCCTGGTGACTTTGGCAGATGGGGAAAGGAGCTAATCCGTAGGTTATGAGCAGAAGGGCTATTGATGAAATGTCACCATCTGTTGGTGTCATTTAAATGATCCGAGTCATAAAGAGTTGCTTATGTTTTTTTTGTCACAAAAAGGTTAGCTTAGCATGTAGAAGAAGTTGCTAGATTGTGGACGGTAGTGGGAGGCCAGAGGGAGTGTCAACCCTGGAAGGGGGAGGAGCCTGATGAACCCATCCGATCAGCTTGGTGAGTCTTCAGAGAAGTGCTGGGATCCCCTGACAATAGAACCAACCATCCCATGTGAGACCGGGGACCTGTTCGGAAGGATGCAGTGCCTCGACTCTCCGATGGTCCTCCCCATTTTGAGGCATCTATCAGGTGGGCAGGGAAAGTCAGTTATTTGGGTTAAACAGAAAAGATGATCATATCTGGGAGGGAACAGCTAAAATGCACCTGTCTCCTTCGTCTTCACTGGCCTCGTTAACAGATTATTCAGGGAGCCAGCTGACACCTGGAGAGACCGAGATCTCACCTGGGGATGACATGCGCTCTATCTGCTGCATCTCCCCGGAGGAGTGGGTGGCTCAGAAGGGGAACCAGGACAGCACGCCCATGCCTCCCCCATGGGTGGGAGCCCGCAGGATGAGGAGAGAAAGCAGGAAGTGGACCACATCAAAGTGCATAGCAAAGAAACCAGCTTTTGGTTTTGTTGAGTGTATTGATTTTCTGGTTTCAATTTCATTGGTTTCTGCTCTAATATTTTAAAATCTGTTCTTTTGCTTACTTTGGGTTTAATTTGCTCTTTTTTATTCTGGTTTCCTAAGGTAGGAATGTAGGTTATTTATTTTAGATTTTTTATTTCTCCCAACATGTTGCATAGCAAAGGGATGGAAAATGTGAGGCGTATATGTAATGAGGATCTGGACGACCAAATTAAACTGTGCCAAATTCCTAATTCTACCTTGTTACCTAATCCTCTTCATTCCAGCCTATTTGCTGTTTATAAACTATTTTACCCACGGCCAAGGACATACGCCCAATGAGAAAGAACCCGTTAAGACCAACCCTGTCTAGTATGCTTTAAGATTCCTTTTTAATTATTGTTATTATTTTTAACTTTAACACCTGGAGAGAGCGTGTGGGTGATTGGGTAAACCGCTACTCCTTTTGGCAGCTCTCAGATTTAAATTATAAGTAAACATAACACTGCAATGAGTCTGGCCTCACACCCAGCCTGGCCTCTCGTTGAGCCCTTACACCCTATCCCTCCGGCCTGCACCTGCCCACCTGCCAGCTCCTTCGGGAGAGGGGCGCCGTGGAGTCAGCGCTGCTGCCGGAAATAGTGCGCGATGCTGGAAGGAAGAGCCACGGGCAGCGCTGCATGAAGCCTGTGCGGGTTATTTATATGGTCTCCAAAGGAAGCATCCTGGAAAAGTTCCTGATATTTTTAGATCAGATGCTTGGTCCTGCTGCCGCACTTTCATTTCTAAACAAGCAGGGATGGAAGTGATGGATGCTGTCTTCAGGGCTGTTTCGGAGGCTCGGGGGGCCCATCTGACAGGCTAATGGTCATCCCGCCAGGTCTAGACCCGCCGTCTGTCTGTTCTGGCTCTGGGACTTCAGGAGCTGCTGACGTCAGCAGGTGATGAATAAAGCCCTGGCTGCCTGCTGCCACGTCTGAAAGTCTGACGCCCTCCCAGCTCTGGGGCCGCGTGCAGGTGACAGCCCCAGGCTCCATGTCCTGCTCGACTTCCCAACCCTGTGTCCGCGGATGGATGGGACACATGTTTGCATAATCAGCCTTTGGCTAGAAGTAAAATGGTTTAGGATTTACTAGTAATGAGATGATCAAACTGGTTAAAACTCACAACCACACAGTAATCCGTGGGCCAGTGAAGGGAGTTGAGTATTGTTACTGAATTATTGCTGTGGTTACTTTCATTTGCCCACTCAAAATCAGTGCTATTAATCAATCAATAAATAATTGTTTAACAAGTTTAATAGGCCTAGCTAGTTTGGCTCAGTGGATAGAGTGTCGGCCCAAGGACTGAAAGGTCCTGGATTCAATTCCGGTCAAGGCGCATGGTGAGGCAACCAAATTGATATGTCTCTCTCACATCAATGTTTCTCTCTGTGTGTGTCTCCCCCTTTTTTCCACTCACTCTCAAAATCAATGAAAAATATCCTCGGATGAGGAGGATTAACAAAACAAAAAAAACACATTTCATATTCTTCCCAAGGATTTTTATGATGAATCCTTTGGCTTTGTCCTTAAGAAGGGAGGAGGAGGAGAAGGTGGGTGTCAGGTCTTTTGCTCTGCAGATACGATTTCTTGTGAAAAGCTCCTGGGTCACAGCTGTGGCCCAGTCCAGGTGAATGACCAGTCCCATCTGAGGTGCTAGAGAGTGTTCAGGGAGGAAAGAAAACGTTCTGAAGTCCTCGTGGCGGGGCATGGTATTGCCTGTCCCTTGGATTCAGACTGTGGCGGGTGGGGCTCTCTTACAAACCTAAGAAATGCACGGAGGAAGCTGCTGGCATGAGCCAAGAAAACTCCTGAAGAGGCCTCAGGAGCCAGAGCCTCTACCCTGCCCTGTGCTCTGGCTCCTGCGGCCTGTGGGCATGATCATTGGTTCAGTTTTATGTATTTCTCTCTCTCTCCACAGCAGACCACAGAAACGGGTGATGACGAGGATGACCAGCCTCTCAGCCTGGCCTGGCCCCCCAACCCCCGCAAGCAAGTCACGTTCCTCATTGTCCTCCCCATAGTGTTTCCTCTCTGGCTTACCTTGCCTGATGTCCGCAAACCTGTGAGTAAAGCATTTTTGAATCGATTCCTTGTTTGAAAGCACAAGTCTATAACAGGATGCCTCGTCTGCTTCTATTTGTCTTCAATGGAAAAGTGGGTAACATATATACTAGTACATGCGCATGCTTATAGATGCCTGAAGTTTATCTGGACTGTTTGCATTATTGGTTCCACATGAGAAACCACCCCAAAACTTAGTCGTGTGAAACCACCACCATGTGTTCCAGGATCTGCATAGGGCACGTTGGCGATGGCTTGTCTCCACTCTGCCATGTTTCTGGCCTCGGCTGGGAAGAGTGACATGGTTGGAGGCTGGAGGCTTCTCCAACTGAGCAGAGACGATTCAAAGGCTGAATGCAGCCAGAATAATCTACAGGAAAGCCTAGGCGTGTCCTCTCCATGTGACTGGGGCTTCCTCAGGTGTGGTGGCCTCAAGACAGGCAGGTGTCTTCCATACAGAGTAGGCTTTGAGAGTAGGTGTTCCAGCGGCACAAGGCAGGAGCTGCACGGTGTCCGATGCACTAGTCGCAGAAGCCACGTAGACTCAGTGGAGCTGCACGTTCCTGGTCAAGGCAGCCATAGTTTGTCTGATTAGAGGTGAGGAGACAGGTCTACCTAAACTATATCAGGTCCTAGAGTGTATGAAACTCTGGAGAGGAGGAGTGTCACAGCATTTGCACACATGTTTTAACACCACCACAGCGTTGTCCCTGAACACTCACATTTTGTTGAATATGTATGTCCATGGATTACTCATTTGATTCAAAAAGTAATTTAAAGAAATGCATTCATGTAGTACAAATGTTTGCACGTCTGATCTCCTTCCTGTATTATTATCATTACTGCAATCAATATTCTTTTCTGCTGTTAGTGATGTACTGGGTGCTGTGAACATAATACCATCTTATAACCAGCAAAGTACAATCTAAATGTAGATGAAACCAAAAGAACATCCCCTCCCAGTATTGTTAAACTGGGTTCTAAGGCCATTGCCCCAAAGGGTGAAGGAATTACTGAAAAATAAGAAGAAAAGGCTCTACTTGTTATTACAGCCTTGTAGACACATACTCATTCCACAAAAGTGTATACCTATCATGTATCAGCTTCTGCCCTAGGTATTTTCAATATAGCATATTGTGGCATCTCAGGAAACAACTAGTATGAGAAAAATACATATCCTGTATAATAAAAGGCTAATATGCAAATTGTCCCCTTGGGAGTTTGAGCACTAGCTATGATGTACTAGCGGCAGCCAGGGGAAGGAAGGCCCTGATTGGTCTTGATCACTGGCCAGGCCTAGGGACCCTACCCATGCACGAATTTTGTGCACCAGGCCTCTAGTGTGTAAATAATTGGCATAAGTAGAAAGAAACTTAGGTACAAAGAAATTAACTCATGGCTGGTCACTTCCCAGGGAAGGGAGCTGAGATTCAGTGTCAGGCCCCAGTGACCACACAGCGTGAGCTTCTCATATTTCATGATGCCAGAAGGTGGACATCTGAAAGCATTATTTCTGAAAGCATTTGGAATAGACTACTGTGGTAACATCCAACATAATTTAGCATGACTCTTGAGTCTTAGGATGATCCACTTTCCTCACTTGAAAAAGACCAAAGAAAAACCCTGTCCCATTAGCCTGACCTATAAAAAATCCAGCCTGTTGGAGAGCCATGTCTTGTAAAGTTCAGGCCAGGAAAGGACCCCCTAGTGCCGTGGTCAGCAAACTGCAGCTCGCGAGCCACATGCGGCTCTTTGGCCCCTTGAGTGTGGCTCTTCCTAAGCCTTAGGAGTACCTTAATTAAGTTAATAACAATGTGCCTACCTATATAGTTTAAGTTTAAAAAATTTGGCTCTCAAAAGAAATTTTAATCGTTGCACTGTTGATATTTGGCTCTGTTGACTAATGAGTTTGCCGACCACTGCCCTAGTGTAAGGACCCCCTGTCAGACTCCCGACAGAAGTTTCCTAGGAAAGTTAAAGCAGCAAGTAGCAGAGCACCTGCTCTCTGCAAAGGCTGGCCTCCTGGAAACCCACAGCCCAGCAGCTGGGATGTGTGCAGTTTCTTCCTGGCTCACATCACGTCGCATTTCCAAGATGTGCGTGCTCACAAGCGCCCACACACTCACTTGCGTCCTCTCTGTATTTCCATTTCTCCGTTTAGCCCGATGCTTTTGCTCAGCCCCAGGGAGGAAAGTCAGGGAGAGAGACATGTTTTTGTAAATCCCCACAGCAGGCCTCAGCCAGAGGAGAGGATGATTGGCTAACAAGAGGATGTCAGCACACAACCGGGAAAAGCGCAGGAATGGGAAAAACCTGTTAATAGCTGGAGGCTCTGGGCTCTCAGGGCAGGTGGGACTCCTAGAGAAAGGGCTGGCAAGGTGCTCATCCTCTGCATCGTCTGAGCTGGAGGGACAAGGAAGCTGTTCGAGAAGATCCAGCTCTCAACCAGCAACTCCTGGACAACAGTCAAGACTCTGCTGTGGCAATAGTTACCTGGAGCAGCACGACTATGCTGGCTGATGCTGCAATTCCCAGAGGCGCAGAGCAAGAAAACGCAGCTGTACATATCCCTCTCCTCTGCAGGACCACTGGCGGTCACTCACTGTACAGGCAGCGTGAGAGCGCTCCCCTGCAGCTTGGGCCACGTTAGCCAATGCGGCTTCGGCTCATTGCAGACCCAAATGCCATCCCTGGGGTGGACTAGATGTGCCCTGTCTGTTTCTGAGTATACTATGTGCTCTCCCAAGCAGAAATGAGACCCCCGCCCCCCAGAACATTTGGATGGTTTTAGAGTTCTTCAGCAAATATTTATTGAGCACCTATTACGTGCCAAGTATCAGACTTGTGCCCTAAAAGAGATAGGAAGACACAGAATTCACAGTTCCTACCTTGAAGGAACTCTAAACTGAGTAGAGGGAGCAAAGCATGGCCACATGGAACTACAGAGCAAGACTGCACAGCTGTGTCGGTGACAGGAGCCAGACTCGAACCCGGGTCTGCTGACGCCACGGCATTCTCATTCTGCCATGGTAAATGGCGGTGGTTTTACCCAGCGACTCATGAGCAGCGCAACCTTGAGAAAGTCACTTCTCACCTCTGGACCTCATGTTTTCTCTTCTGTGAAAGACAGGGTGGAAGACCTCTAGATTCCTGGGCAGCCGTGACCTTCTGTGATTCAGGAAAGCATAAAGAGATAGCCATCAGGACGATGTTCAAGGTGACCGCACAGCCCGTTTGCCCAGGGCAGTCCTCGTTTACTGTGGGTACAGGTTTGGAAGTTGAACTACGTGGTTACCCTTTACATACGGGAAATGCCAAATGAAAGGAAGCATTCTGCTTCCTCATGTACTGCCCAAGGGCCTCTTGAAAAATTACCCAAGAAGAGGAGAGAACAAGTCAAAAATTATTAATTAGTAGACATTTGCTACTCCTCAGGGCCTGGCAGCTCTGCCTCCTCAGTGTAGTTTTTTGTTTTGTTTTGTTTCCCATCACCATTAGCCCCTCCATCCTCCTCAGTAGTTTTTGAATTGCCCATGGAGATGAACATCCAAACCTTGACAATAATTACAAAGAAAACATGATTTTTTTAAAACGTATACATCTACTTTCAGAGTAAATGGCACCCCCGCTTGTTTTCATTTCCACTTCATTTATATGCAAATGATGCGACAGTGTTTGTTGTATTATATACGCTTCCAGCTCAGATAATTAGTCTGGGCTTCACTTTTATAGTTTCCTTAAATTAATGGCTTTGTTTTGAAAGTTAAAAAAAAACACTAAAATGTGAACCTTAATGAGGAACATGTCTTTGATGAAAATTGAAAATAATAAAGGAAATAAAGACCCAAAAAGATAGATCCTTTCATGGCGTAGGATGGGTGTTCTTGTAAATCGGGAACACACCCAATGAGATATCAAAACATGACTCATCAGAGCTAGGAAGGTACCTGAGAACGCAGCAAGGTTTTTGCTATTTTTATCACACATTGATTCATTCACCAAGTAGATTTATTATGTCTACCATGTGCCCAGCACAGCTCTAGCAAGGAGTAAGTGACCACTGAACCCAGAGAGCGTAGTGATTGTCCAAGCACACCCTGCTAATAAGAGGTAAAGCCAAGACTCCAGGTCTCTACAGTCACTTGCTCCTCCCTGAGTTTCAATTTCCTAATCTCTTAAAAAAAACAAAAAAATATGAGGATAATATAGTCAAATAATAATGGCCATTGTTATCTGTGCACTTACTGTGTGCCTGTCACTTTGCTGGACACTTTATGTGCATGAGATCCTCAGACTGACTAGATATTGCTATTCCCCCATTTTACAGATGAAGAAATCGAGGCTTAGAGAGATTAAATAATTTGGCTGTTGTTGTTTTTTTTAGACAGGAAGGGAGAGATAGAAACATCAATCACAAAACATTGATCGGCTGCCTCCTGCACGCCCCTTACTCAGGATCAAGCTAGCAACCCAGGCATGTGCCTTGACTAGGAATTGAGTGGTGACCTCATGGTTCATGGGTTGACGTTCAACCACTGAACCACACTGGCCAGACATCAGCAAGGATTTTAATGCCTGTCCTATTAATCTAGAAACCATACTTTTAATCTTTAATAGGATTGTTTTGGAGAACTTTGTTAAATGTGTATGCCCCAGAATCTTCCACAGAGTAGATGCTCAGTATTTGTCGAGTTTAAATTAGTAAGGATATGGCTAATTTGTGCAATGAGCTAATGTTCAGCAAGGTTTTTGCAAGCCAAGAAAATATCACTCTGATGTACTAAAAGCTTCTAATGAGAACATTAGCTGTCAATTATACAAGGAAGCCATTACATTGGGAACAAAATGGCCGGCACACGGACACAATTTGCTTTTTGCTAATTAGCGTTAGGCCCATCCCAGCAGATGTCAGGATGAGCCCCTATTACTAATCATAAATTGACATGGCAGCCCTTGTCTGCAAGGGCTATTTTCTTCCCTCCGTGGAGACGGTAACTGAATAACTGCCCAGGTGCTGCTGGGCCGTGATGCCTGGAATGAGGCCGTAGAGTCCAAATGAGGGGAATCGTCCAGGAAAAAAATGAAAGAAGGAATAACCTGGGCTGTGAGTCTGGAAATGGTAAGGTAGTCTGACAGTTGGGCAGCGCTGAGCCAAACTGCTGATGCTCGAAGGGAGATGCTTCCAGAGCAGGGAACAGGGAGGCTGGGTGCGGCAGATGGCCACGCAGCTGGGATGCTAGTCTACACTTCCCTGATGCTCTTTATACCTTCTGGCTTTCAGAGCATAGGCTAGTGTTATAATGATGGTGATGATTATGTGTCTGTGGCTGGGTATATTTTGAGTGTTACTGGTCCTGTTTTTCTTTTGGAAAGAGTCGGTATAACCTAGATGTTGGGAACACCTGCTGTATAATCAGACAGACCTACTTTTGAATTTTATGTCTTGTTCAAGACCTGGGTACAGAGTAGGTGCCAGGTTTACCTACCCCTAGTTAATGATGAAGACCTAAAAAGTCACCCGAAAAAGTTATTTTTAACCCCTTTTTAATGATCCCCAAATATTACACTAGATCAAGGTACATTTCAGTGCTCATTCCTTACTAATGGGCTTCTTGATCAAGAATCATAAGCACCAAGTTTTGAATTCGAGAGGTTTTCACTAATACTGATTTGAACTTAGTTGCTTTAAATCCTTAGTCTGATGCCTGATTTTCTACCTTTTGACTGGGAATGGTCTATGGTTCAGGGATATTTTTTAGATTAGAAATATATTCAAATGATTTGATTCTGAGTTGTGACATTATATCAATGAGCAGACATGCAAAGTTATAAAAAATAATAACTACATACTTAGTAAATGAGCTAAGCTGGAAAGGGAGCGATCTATGAAATGAGGACCCTCCCGGGGTACCCAGTACAGGTGCCATCCCATCAAGTATGGAGATGGTGCTCCGTTCCCCTCAACAGGGTGCTCAGAATCAAGCTCACTGACTGCAGTTCGGCCACATGTGTGGCCCCGCCCTTCTCTTCCCTGTGTCAGAGCGGGGCCATAGGAGATGAAACGCTCTTCGCACTTGGGATCCCGGAACAGAGACCTGTGACCAGAGGAAAAGGATGAGGACTGGAATCGGCTAAATGCCTTGCAGGGGAAACTTGATTTCTTAGCAGTGGCAATCCCAAGGCTCAGGGAATCTGGCCTCCAGGATCCAGCTGAACTCCCAGTTTTAAAGGAATTTGCTTTCTAACGTGAATATCTCCAATGATCCCACTTCTGGGAATATATCCTAAAAACCCCAAAACACCAACCAGAAAGATTATATGCACCCCTATGTTCATAGCAGCGTTATTTACAATAGCTAAGATTTGGAAACAGCACAGGTGCCTATTAGTAGATAAGAGGATAAAAAAGCTGTGGGACATTTACACTATGGAATACTATGCAGCTGTAAAAAAAAAAAAAAGGATGGAAGGAATCTCTTACCCTTTGGGACAGGATAGATGGACCTGGAAAGTATTATGCTAAGTGAAATAAACCAATCTAAGAAAGACAAATATCACATGATCTTACTTATTTGTGGAATCCAATGAACAAAATGAATTGACCAACAAAGTAAGACCTGAAGCATGAAGGCATGGAATAGACTGACATACCTTGATGTGGGGTTGGAGACAGGAGAAGAGATAAATCAAAGAACTTATATACTTATATGCATAGCCCACAGACACGGGCAATAGCATAGTGAAGACCTGGGAGGTGGGTATAGGACAGGGATAAGGAGGAAGGGGGGGAATGGGAGATATCCGTAATACTATCAACAATAAAAAATATATTTAAAGTGAATGTCTCAATCTCCACTTTGAAAAATGGATTACTTTTTCCCATAACCTGTTAAACTGCTCACATCCCCAACGGGGTCTGAATCTTTGACCAAAATATTTGAGAGATGGTAGAGGTGGGGGGCAGCATTTGAGAATAAGCTTGTGGCTACTCACTGTGGCCTGTGTCTCCCCAGTTTCATCAAGCCCACTGGTCTGCCCGATCGCCCAGCTAACGAATGACCCCGGAAAAGCCACAGTCATTCAAAGAGAGACATGATTATTGTGAAATTTAACAGAACTGTGTGAATGACAATAAAAACATATTGAAAACTTGAAATTAGTAAAGAGAACATAAGCCTGGTTTAGAGCGATAGAGACTGTGTTCATCTTATGGATATTCAAAAGATTACCGTGCACAAGTTTATCTTTTCCTTTTAATGGGTTTCTCAGAAACCATAGCAAAAAGTGTTCTACATGATTGCCCAAGGTCAGCCCTTCAGACAGCTGAGATAGCTTTCATCCCAGTCAACTCCGGGATTCATTTCTCTGGACAAAATTGGATGGCATTATCAAAGCAAAAAATAGATTGTTTCTCAAAGTAGAAAGCTTTGAAATAAAAAGTGTTTGGCAATAACAGGTGATAGGCTCTTAAAACATTTTGCAAAAAAGGGCCTTCACAGAAAAACCACTAACGATAGGGCAAGCCTGGATTTCCCTATGGTGGGGTCAGGTAAGAAACACTGCATTTTGAGTGTCTGATTCCAGCTGATGTTTGAAGGAAACTTTAAAAGCGCTCGTACTTACAGGATCATCGAACAGACTGTCAAACCTCAGAGGGAAGGCAGGGGAGGGTGGGCGTGGGGAGGGGGAAATAAGAGGTCAACCAAAGAACATGTATGCATATAAGCCTAACCAATGGACAGACAATGGGGGTGGGGTGAAGGCCAAGGCTGGGGGGCAGGGGCAAGCTGGGAGAGGACAATGGGGGGCGGGGGGACCTATGTAATACTTTCAACAGTAAAGAATTTTTTAAAGTGCTTGTACCGTAAGCCTGAGATTGCACAAAGTCCAGCGGTAGAGACAGAATTGGACATAATTAAGGATGGAGAACATCCTGCCAGCCCCAAGGAAAGCCACGCAGTTGGGCATCTGTATGTTCCTGTCCCTATGAGTGGTTCAAATGTCCCTGACTGGCCATCATCAGGGATCTATAGAAACCGTGGTGATGGCTTTTTCTGTGTGGCTTTTCCTAACCACTCCTGGGACTGTAAGATGAGCCACTCTGTTTTTGAATTCTTCCTGTTTCTTGTACAATGTAATAATCCCATAGGTTTTGTGGTATGTGGATTATTATGATGCATGGGTTGAAGTAATAGAAACTGATTCTGATGAACTTGAGCGGAAGAAAGAAAAGGGAGCAGGAGAGGGAGGGAGGATGTGGGGTAGTTAATAGGTTGAAGGCGAGGCTGAGAAACCAGGCCTTGGGAAGGGCATCTGAGCATCCAGCAGCAGGAGAAGACATTCTCTTCAGGAAAGTTCCATCTCAGGCACTAGCTTTGCAATGATCTAACCAAGTTCACATTCCCGAGAATCTTACTGTCCCAGCTTGCCCAGGGGTGGTCAGGGCCTTTTGATTGCCAACCCTACCAAGACGGCCAGCTGCTTCGGTGGATTTAGCTTTGAACTGTCAGATCCACTCAGTTGATAGAACTGACGCTCTCGCCTCTCCCTGGTTCTCTTTCAGTCAGCAAGGAAGTTTTTCCCCATCACATTCTTCGGCGCCATCACCTGGATCGCTATATTCTCTTACTTAATGGTCTGGTGGGCACACCAGGTAAGACCTTGACCGTGACGCCATCTGCCTGGTGTTGCTAAGTTGTTAATCAGTGTGCTTGCTTTCTGAGACTGTCACAACAGTATTGTGTCTGACAAGACAACTTAAATATTCCAGGACTAAAGGAATTTACCCCACTTAACTGTCCTGTGTCTCCTGGCCTTTCCCTGGATTGTGAGGTCAGAAAGCTCCGGTCAGGCATGTGGAGGAAGGCAGGCAAACTGAGCTGCTTCTTGCCCCCTGCAGCCTGAAACCAAGCCAGCTCAGGCCTGGGTGGGATGTTGAGGTTCTGCCTGACTTGTTAGCCCTTACTTTCTCTTCGGGAGTTAACCGGCCTTTTTTTTTTAAATTAATCCTCACCCATTGATTTTTTTTATTATTATTTTAATTTTAATTTTATTGGGGTGACATTATGAACATATAGGTTAAATGTGTGGATTACTAATTTACAAAATCTGTGTATAGGACCATGTGCCCACCACCCAAAGTCAAATCCTCTCCTGTCACGTCATCTTAAGACCCCTTCCTTCCCCCACCCCCTCCCTCTGGCAACCACCACACTCTGTTCGTGTACATAAGTTTCAGTTTCATATTCCACATATGAGTTAAATCGTATACTTCTTAGCTTTCTCTGTCTGACTTATTTCGCTTCGCATAATGTTCTCAAGGCCCATCCACGTTGTTGTAAATGGCGCTATTTCCTTCTTCCTTACGGCCGTGTAGCACTCCATTGGGATGCTGAGGTTTTGCCTGACTCAGTAGCACTTACTTTCTCTTCGGGAGTTAACCAGCCTTCTTTTTTTGTTGATCCTCACCCATTGATTTTTAGAGAGAGCAGAAGGGAGGAGGAGAGACAAAGAGAAACATCGATGTGAGAGAGACACATTGATTGGTTGCCTCCCACTCACGCCCCAACCAGGGCCATGCCCTGGACCAGAATCGAACCCAGGACCCTTCAGTCTGTGGGCCAGTGCTCTGTCCGCTGAGCTAAACCAGCTAGGGCCAGCCTTTCTTTTTTTCAATTACAGTTGACGATCAGTATTATTTTGTATTAGTTTCAGGTATACAATCATATACTTCACAAAGTATTCCCCATCATATTTCTAGTAATCACCTGGCACTGTACACAGTTATTACAATATTATTTACTATATTCCCATGCTGTATATTACAGCCCATGACTATTTTGTAACTACCAATTTGTACTTCTTAATCCCTTCACCTTTTTCACCCAGGTCCCCAACACCCTCTTGCCTCTTGCAGCCATCAGTCTGTTCTTTGTACCTATGAGTCTGTTTCTGTTTTGTTTGCTCATTTACATTGTTCTTTAGATTCCACATGTAAGTGAAATTGTATGATATTTGTCTTTTTCTGACTGATTTATTTCACTTAGCATAATACTGTCTAGGTCAGGGGTGGGCAAACTTTTTGACTCGAGGGCCACAATGGGTTCTTAAACTGGACTGGAGGGCCGGAACAAAAGCATGGATGGAGTGTTTGTGTGAACTAATATAAATTCAAAGTAAACATCATTACATAAAAGGGTACAGTCTTTTTTTTTTAGTTTTATTCATTTCAAACAGGCCGGATCCGGCCCACGGGCCATAGTTTGCCCACGGCTGGTCTAGGTCCTTCCATGTTGTCACAAATGGTAAGATTTCTTTTTAATTTTTTTATGTCCAAGTAATGTTCCATTGTATATATATATATGTATATACTACAGCTTTTTTATCCACTCTTCTATTGATGGGCTCTTGGGTTGCTTCTATATCTTGGCTGTTGTAAATAATGCTGCAGTGAACATAGGGGTACATATACTCTTTCGAATTAGTGTTTCGAGTTCCTTTGGATATAGACCCAGAAGTGGAATCGCTGGGTCATAAGGCAGTTCCATTGGCTCTTAGGAAAAGGCCAGTCATCATGCCTATCACAAGACTAAACTCTTAGTAAGTGTTTGTGTTACACATGAATGAACGAATGAGATGCGAAAGAAGAGAAAATAGTGGTAACCATTATTGATTGTGTACTGTGTGCCAGGCAACTCAC